AATAATAATGATAATAATAATAATAATAATAAATAGCACGTTTAGCGTATATTCCCCGATTGACAGGAAGCTCTATGCATTTTACAAACTATATTATTATTACCCCAGCAAACCATAGAACACCCAGAAACATTCTCAGCTTCCCGGGAAGCATACCGTGCAAGCAGCTGATTAAGCGCTCAAATAATAACAAACTGACAAGATCTGTCACTGTCTATAGCCGGGTACCCATTCCCACCTGGATGAAGTGAGGAAAATTCGTGTAAAGTATAATATGTACCTTTCCCAAGGACACACTGTCGGGCCCCTGACGGGATTTGAACCTACGACCTTACGGTTGCGAGTCAGAGAGCTTAACCATTAAGCCACAGTGACGCGACGCTCTACAGCATGCTCTGTGGGTTTTACAACTACTATTACCCGGGAAGCAAACAGTGCAAGCAACAGATTATACGGTCTCAAACAGTAACAAACCGACCAGATCTTTTGCTGTCTATATGTACCCATACAGAAAGAGAGAGAGAGAGAGAGAGAGAGAGAGAGAGAGAGAGAGAGAGAGAGAGAGAGAGAGAGAGAGAGAGAGGGAAAAAGCTTTGGATGTGCTGATATCAAGAAGAAGCGCGTCGAAGAGAAAAGCAGTGCCAACCAACCAAGAGGTGGGAACACGTATTTGATGGCATAATCCAAATTAATAATGCATTATTACAAGCTAAATCTGAAGAAGTGTTTTTTTTCTTTCAAGTTCTACTCACATGAAAACGTCACTTCCTACAAAATAAAAGTATCCTGAATCATCGTGAGAATAATTGATAAAATGTTAGGGCGGGAATGCAGTGCGCGATTAACTGTGAAGCAAATGTTTAAAAAGAAACCCAAGTGAATCCGAGAAAGTCACCCCAGGAATTATTTACAGGAACTAAAGACACCTTCAGCTGTCACGCTTGCTTTATAAGCCCTCACATGTTGGGGAAAAGTTCACAGGTCATCCCACAATTGAATCAAGACGCAAACCCGACGCTCCCCTACCTTATCCGCGGATGGCTCGTGATAGGGCGAAGACCGTCTTCAAATAGACTGAAGTCCACTCAACAATGGGCCTGGAGAAACTCTCGTTGATACTGTTTTGATTTTATTGGGGACTTTACTGGAAAACTGAGTTAAGTTGCCTTTCGCCCACTCTACGTTGAAATATTATTTTATAAGAAGCTGATTTTGATTTTAATGAGGGAAATGATAAACATTACTAGTAGGAAACTGTGATAAAGTGTTAAGGACTCTGCTAATACTGCTGCATCCGAACATTTTTTCCCATTTTGACTTAAAGAGCGGCACACCAACGCGTTGATGGTTTAGGTGCCTACAAAAAGCAAAAAAATAGAAAGCAAAACAAAACCCAAACAACAACTACAACAACAACGACAACAACAACAACAACGACAACAACAACAACAACAACAACAATTGACCGGTCAGAAATAAACAAATAAAACGAGTGGGACATTCTTGTTGCATTCTTCAACTGTCTGAACAATAGTGTGATGTTTGCTTAACCTCAAATTTACAACACGAGAGAGTCAAAAGATAATTTTTCTTCTTTTCTTTCGTTTCCACACACTCACAAAATATTTTAAAAAAATAAATAACATTTATGAAATGAAAAAGCATATCGCTTGTTCCAGAAACTGTTGTGACGTAGACTCACGCTTTCTGTGACGCAACTACAG